AACTTCGCGAGTATTTCGGCAGTGCATTTTCAGTTTGTGTGCAGTATGAAGTTATTAATTTATTAAAGTCGAAAGAAATTAGCAACGAAGTGAGGAATTGTTTCGTTTGGAAATTTTGAATTTAACGGAGATGGGCTCGATGCGTCTGCAGTGCCCTTTGTGCTGCACCGAACGGTTTTCCTCGCCGTTCGCCCTCAAGTATCATTTACTCAGCATCATCGATAACCTGCTGTGCACCATTTGTGGTAAAAAGTTTATAAACATCCATTCATTGGCTGAGCACGTTAGTTCATGTTGCTTGGAGAATGGAGAGAAGGAGGAAGAAAAGACAGAAGACTCTAATAGTCTTAAAGAGGATGAGGAGGAACCTGAGCTTGAAGATGAAATCTTCTATGAGGACAGTGAGACACAGCTCACAAATGAAGAAGAGCTAATGCAAGTTGATGGTGATGCTAGTAGTGAGGAGAAAATAGAACAAGTAGCAGAGGAAAAACAAGATGTACATCAAGAGGAGCAAGAGACTGAGGAGGAATTGTACTATTGCTCCAGCTGTGATTTCAGTTTTAACAATTTCGAAAAGCACATAGATGAACACCACAATGGACAGGAAATATATATTGATGTAAATTCACTTTAAAAATATATTTATATAACTGTTACTAGTGTTTATTGGATTGTGTCGTTTATGAACCAAATCCAATATGGCGACAGACCACACCATATCCAACAAGCGTCATCCTACAACAGCGCCATCTACAGAAATAAAAAATCACTCTATTCTAAATTTATCTTTTATTGCATATTCATTATTCTACATGTTCGTGTTGCGCCTGAGCCTCACTCTCCCTCCAATTTCTCTTTACAGTTTCAATGATCCATTTCCAGAATTTTGTCTTGGTAAAATAATAAAAGGCGCAAATTATAATGAATGTCCATGATAACAACATCAGTGGATCAAACCATCTGAATGGAAGGCTATGTACAGGTCCTCTAAAGTCTTCGCTTTTCACGAACACTTTCTCTTCTGCTTTGATACCCGTCGCCTTCGTTATGAACTTTGAGAAAAGCTCCAACTTGTAGTCAGTCTCATTATACTTGGCTACAATTTTCCCATTGTGGAAAAGCAGTAAAGAAGGCAATCCTACTATTCCATTCTGAGTATTGAATAAGTGATACAGCATAGCATTAATAGCAACCATTTTTATGTCTGGGAATACTCGAGACAAGGCATTGAAAGGTGGTGCAGCAAGACTAGAGAATGGACAATACTTTGAATAGAATAGCACAAGAATGCATTTTCCAGGCTGTTCCTTGCTAGTAATGTTGGTGTCTGGTACAAGCATCTTCATAACCTCTGTATCATTAACCAATTGTACTTCTGGACTACCTCCATTTTCCAAACAAGAAACAAATTTCTGTGTTACATTAGGTTCTTGCTCAGTAATATTTGTTAATGTCATTGTTTCAGCTACTGGCTTAATTGTAACATTGCCACGGCTCATATCAAACTTCTTGACAATTGTAATTTCTTCCAATTCATCACAATTTGCTGAAATAAGTTTTATTTTAATATAATACACATAAATAATAACATATTTACATACCTACTATTTCCAAATGAGATAATATTAATATATTGATGATAGTAATAATTAGTTTATCTCTTAAAGGAAACATACTTTTTTTGTTGTATTAACGATTGTTTATTAACTAAATTTTCACTTAAATGCACTTAACTTCTTTCCAATTATTCTCTGCACAACTTCGGAAAACACTGAACTGAACTTAAAAGGTAGCGCTTGTTTTGATTTTCTCTTTTGACATTGACAGTTCAGCTGATTTCAAAAGATCTGCAACCCAATTAACTTCTATGTATATATGTAAAATAATTTATTAATCTTCCTTAAAACTTTTAATTAATACTGTAAATCTTGTCAATATCTTTATGCAAATGTATTGTAAATATAAAATAGTTTAAACATAAATAAATGATAGAAATTCGTCATGTTATTGATTCTTTGCGGTGATAACAAAAAGCACCATGTTGCTTCCAACCAATTTGTTGAGGTTGTCAACAAGAACTATTAAACATTCCAGATTATTGCACGGAATTATGGCTAAACCAAGAGTTTACATTACCAGAGAAGTGAATGATGAATCTATGAATCTTCTGAAGCAAACGTGAGTACATTTATAACAGTTTTTAAATTCATTGTTCTATTTATATTTTCTTATCAGATGTGATGTGAGCGTATGGTCAGGATCGGCTCCAGTATCGAAAGCCGAATTAATGAAAAACCTTAAAGACAGCCAAGCCTTATTTTGCACACTATCAGATAAGATTGACAAAGAGGTACTTGATGTTGCAACTAATCTTAAAGTGATTGCTACCATGTCAGTGGGTTATGATCATTTGGATGTAGCAGAAATTAAAGCTAAAGGAATTAGGATTGGTTATACACCTGATGTACTTACTGATGCCACAGCTGAACTAACAGTGGGTTTGCTGCTAGCAACAAGCCGAAGACTGTTTGAAGCCAATGAAGCTGCCAAAACAGGTGGTTGGTCATCTTGGTCACCATTTTGGATGTGTGGCCCTGGTCTTAGCCAATCCACAGTAGGAGTTGTGGGATTTGGAAGGATTGGTCAAGAGGTAGCCAAATGTTTGAAACCATTCAATCTGAAACGTTTAACTTATTATAATAGATCTGAAAGGAAAGAAGCAAAGGAGATTGGAGCTGACAAAGTAGACTTCAATGAATTGCTCACTGAAAGTGATTTCATTGTAGTAACGTGCGCATTAACACCCGAAACAAAGAATTTATTTAACCAGGAAGCTTTCAAGAAGATGAAGAAGTCTGCTGTATTTGTAAACACTAGTAGAGGAGGCGTCGTTGATCAACCTGCATTAGTTGAAGCCCTTCAAACTGGCGAAATTTGGGGAGCCGGACTCGACGTGATGACACCGGAGCCTTTACCACTGGACGATCCCTTGCTCAAACTAAAGAATTGCGTAATTTTACCGCATATAGGAAGTGCGAGCATTCAAACCAGGAACAAGATGGGTTTAATGACTGCACAGAATATCGTGGCAGTTTTTAAAAACGAAGAAATGCCGGCCGAATTAATCGTATAAATAATTTTTTTATTAAAACTTCTTTAAACATTGCATTAAAATTGTCCTTAAACGACTTCTCAGGTTTTCGTCGCTGTTGCAGAGTACGTGCGTGTTCTTCTCGTCCAGATGAATGAGTGCGTCTTTCTCTTGCTGCGAATGAAAATTTTGCATTAAAATATAGCGGTTCAGATTTTTATTTAGAACAAACCAGGTGAATGACGTATCCGTTGGCCGTGTTATCCAGTTTCGCGTCGTTGATTCCTTCCTTACTTAACTTCGCCATCAGCTCTGATAAATTGATGCTCCCCCATTCGTAGTTGATATTTCGAGGTCCGATGTCGGACGTGGGTTTCAATTCTTTCACGTTATAGATATTGTCTTTCACGTTGAAATTGCCCGTGATGGTAGACAAGAATGTTCCTGGCTTGATCTCCACCGGGTGCACTTGCTTAGCTACATCGTTTTCTATATATACTTTGCCTTGTTTCCGTTTCAGAGGCAGATTTATGACCTCTCCCCATTTGTATGGGATAACGGTGCGTTCCGGCGTACTGTCTATGACTAGCTCTGTTAAATTTGGAGCACCTGCAGGCGGTTTCGTGTAGCATTCGGGAACCACAAGCGTCGTCGGTTTCAATTCCTTAATCAATTTGTTGGCTTGAGTAAAATTTAAAGATGTGTCGATTGCGCAATGAGCGACTTTCATTTGCAGAGGCTGGTAAGGGGCCAAAGCTTCGATATAATCGAAGTCCGGTTCTGGAAAATGCATGCATTCTTGAATTTATATCAACTTTAGATATAATCTTTACACATACCTGTGAATACTATACAATTTCTTGGATTGTTACCCCACATCTCCACGAACTGCACGGCATCTCCGAAACGTAAACTGGGATGTCCGCAAAATACTACACAAGGCTAAAAGAGATTTTTATATATTAATTTGCTAATTATATTATGTTGTGTAAATACTTCTTGGAAATCTGTACTAAATCCGTCGGAATAGATATGTTTGAAGTGTTTCAATTTGTTGGATTTCACGAGCATTCCGTGTGGGAACGGCTCATCAGGAATATACACTTTGTTCTGTTTTACCGAAGACAACCATTCAGCCAAAATATTCGAATAAGCTAAAGACATGTCAGCGACTGGGGATACGAAAAACATGGGACAATTGGCAACTCCTAAATCTGCCATTTTCAACGATAAACATTCGAAAAGATCGTAAACAACTCCTGTTGGATAACAAGGTATCAAAACGTTACCACCACCTCTCAGAGTCATCCCTGTAATAATTAAAATTTAATTTTGTTTATACATTTTCATATAGAAATATTTACCAACTACAACACACAGCACTCCTAGCATTGAATCTGGATTCGATATAGGAGTTTGCGTTAGGTCAGTCATAATTAAAACATCCGCGTTTTTCAATGAATTATGGTCCATAGGTCTAGGATGTGTAGTCAAAGTACTGGATCCGCTCAAGTAAACGATTTTCTCATAATCCGTAGTGATAATCCAATTACTTGAACCTAAGCAAAACCCGGAACTTGCTGGGACTACTTGCAACGCGCCATAAACATCCTAAAAACTTAAAATTAAACAAAATAATCTTATATAATTTTTAAATAACTTACAATTTTCTCATTGTAACCGACCATCTGAATCCTGGATAAACTCGCATTTACATTCGCCATATTATAAATTTGTTTCCAAGACTTTGGTTTGAATGCTTCATTGATAGGATACGGTAATTTATGAACGAAATTCTTCCATTGAGTGGCAAAACCAGCTTTCGGACATTGCTCAATATAAATCACCAATTCTTCAAGTAATAACCTGCAATATAATAAATCTTAAACAACAAGCTAATTAAAATTAAACCCTTTTTACCTTCCAATTTGCAAAGTTGGTTCTGTTGCATAAACCCTTCCTTGAAAACCAGTTCCCTCAGTAATAAATGGTAATGCCATCATACACAAATAATTTGATATCAGAATAACATCAACCTGAGCAAAATTAATAAGTTTGTCTAGTGGTGGACAAAATTCCAATGGAGAGTCCACAAATACTCTATCACAATTTTCTTTTAATTCCTAAAGAGTTATATATACATGTAAATAACTTGATTAGTTCATGTTTTGTTCATTAACTTACACCTTCCAAATCAGCATCAACAACATCATTAGGCATCCATGTGGGTAAATTGAGCAACCGATTGGTAGCAACAAATGGAAGAGGCAGGAAGTTCAATACTGATTGCATTGAAAGACCACAGTCCAGCATCATTGTAATTTCATTGAATGTTAGTATATGGCACGGTTTGTTGGGGTCATTGCTCAGACAATACTTAAAAAACACATTTGTATATAGTTAAATTAAAGTTAATTAGTATACTTACAAGCTTCATTTTAACTGTTTAATGTTTTTAACATAAAAGAAAACTGAAAACAAAACTTATATTTGCACCTAACCTAATGGAAACTGTAACTTTTGGAAGGTTGTAAACATAAATAGAAATGCAACTGTTCTAACACCTTACAATAGGTAGGCAACTTCAATTGTTTGTGTTCGGTATTTTCAACTTTCTTATAAAGTGTTGAGTAACTTCAAGAATTTACTAATTTCAATAAAATACTTAAATTTATGATTTGCCTATAAATATAATATAATTAACACGGTGGCAATCGCAAGCCCGACAACCGAAATCCCGACGTTCGAAATCCCGAGTGTATCGAAATCCCGACGTTCGAAATCCCAACTATATCCAAATCCCGACTATATCAAAATCCCGACTATATCGAAATCCCGACAGTGTCTTTTATTATTATAAATTTCTACAATAACATATTTATGGTAGTCAGGATTTCGATAGTCTGGATTTTGATATAGCCGGGATTTCGATACACTCGGGATTTCGAACGTCGGGATTTCAATAGACGGTCTTTCGGTTGTCGGGCTTGCGATATAGACCCTAATTAATGTATGTAATGTTATTAACACATTCAATTAATGTATATAATACAAACATTTATAAAGTAGGAATATTATTTGCAGTAATTACTTTTTTAATATATTTAAATCTCGAATTAAAGAACATATTTTAAGCTGATGGAAGTTTTTATAAATAATTACAATAAAAGTAATACCCAATGTATATACACTTATGAAAATATTTAAATTATGTTGTAAATATAATGAATTTTAAGTTGTAATGATTGAAACTTAGAAACATTGTTGAAAACCTACAAAAAAATTATGTTTTCTTTAAAATAAGGATGTCATTTTTAGGCTGTTTTTAAACCTAAGAATTTTAAATTTAAATTACTTGATTACTTTTTTCTGTTTTTTAGTTTGTACTCAATAAATCATTTAAATAAACAAATAAAATTTATATAACAAAAT